CGCAGGGGTGAATATTTGGGGATGTGGGGTGGATTTGGGGGATGTAGGGGTGAATTTGGGGGTGGATTTGGGGGTGAATTTGGGGGGTCCCCGGCTGTGGGGAGCCGCTGCTCCCCCCTTGACCCAGAGCCGACCCCCCCAGACCTGCGGGGGGGGGGGCTCCCAGTTCCAACCAGTCTCTCCCAGTTCCGGGCCGGCGGAATCGCGGAGTCAGCGCTGCCCCGGGGCCGGTTCCTCTTTCGGTGCTGAGTCAGCTCCTCAACCCCCACCAGCGGACCCCCAAATTCACCCCGTGCCCCCCAAACCAGCCCTCATGGGCGGGGGGCGCGCAGCGGCGGGGCGGACCCCCCGGCCCCCCCAAATCCTGCCCAGTCATGCTGACTGCGGGCCCGTGTGACAGTCGGGGACAAGGGCCAAGGCCACCGCGCCCGGGGGCGGTTCGGGGGTGGCCGTGGGTGGGGGGGTTGCTTACAAAAGCCCCGCGGACGTTGAGCGGCCGCGGCCGCGTTCTCGCTTCAACAGTGCTTGAACGGAACCGGCTGCTCGCGGCGCCGCGCCCCGAACCGGCCCCGAACCGCCGCTCCCGAACCAGCTGGAACCGCTCCGTCCGTCCGTCCGTCCCGCCGCTCCGTCCTTCCGTCGGTCCGTCCCGAACCGGCCCCGAAGCGCAGCTCCTGAACCCCTCCGTCCTTCCCGAACCGCTCCGTCTGTCTGTCTGTCCTTCCCTCAGCTCCCGAACCGCTCCGTCCTTCCCGAACCGCTCCCGAACCGCTCCGTCTGTCCTTCCCTCAGCTCCCGAACCGCTCCGTCTGTCCGTCCCGCCGCTTCCGAATCGCTCCCGAACCGCTCCGTCCTTCCCGAACCGCTCCCGAACCGCTCCGTCTGTCCGTCCCGCCGCTTCCGAATCGCTCCCGAATCGCTCCGTCCTTCCCGACCCGCTCCCGAACCGCTCCGTCTGTCCGTCCCGCCGCTTCCGAATCGCTCCCGAATCGCTCCGTCCTTCCCGAACCGCTCCCGAACCGCTCCGCCTGTCCGT